TTGAACTTTCAGAAGCCGTGACAAACAAACAAATAGATGGTGACCATATGGTATTCAACTTCTCGCAAGAGGATGTTGACAATGGTAGACTGTCATACTTTCACCAGGACCTTCAAACCTTTAACGATTCAGTTACTTTCATCGTTTTTGATAGTCATTATTCTTCTGCACCTTTTACGTTGCCAATCAAAGTCGTACGTGAAAAGGTTTCTTTTTTCAGTGAATTATTCAAGAAGGAAAGTGCAATGTTTTAGTGAGCAAAAAAGTAATAATCTGAGAAGTTATTTATATCAGCTTTCTTCATTTTGTTAAAAATAGTCAAATGATCTTTCGCAGTGTCATTGATAAGTGCTAAGTAGCTTCTCCTCAAATATCATTAAAAAATTTTTAGATTCGGTTACGTGCTTCAAATTTTTCTGTTCTGATGAGTGGTAAAGCGTTATTGAGTGCAGATATTATAACTGCAGTTTCAAACGAAGATGAGCATTACAAATTTGAAGTGGTGCGAAAACCCAAAGCTGGCAATATTACCTTTATTAATGATTCTGATTGTCAAACAATATCCTCATTTACATCTATGCACCTTCACAAACATCTGATTTACTATGTCAGCAATCCGTCTTCTGAAGCAAGGTCAGACTCATTTGCTGTCGTCGCATGTGCAGAAATGCAACGTTGTTCTGATGAAACCTGGATTCACATAGCAATAAAAAAAGTCAATTTTCACGGTTAGTATTTATTACTGAAGTTGTTAAAACTTCTTTCTACTTAAAAATTTTTATTTTTTTTTTTAATTTTTTAAGTGCTTCAACTATTTACCAGTGTGTAACATCAAGTTACCGTGTAACTCTATGCAGTAACCTGTTTGCATCGTAAAAGTTTTAGGGCCTGTACTGAAAAGAAACGAAGCAATGGCATTAGTTAGCAACTCCAAACCGGGCACACTAACAAATCGCTACTTATACTCGGAGGTTAATAAATTAAAACGAAAATTGAAGTTTTTCAAGCATTTTATACACATAAAATGCAGAAAATGTTTCAAAATGATCAATTTTGCTTAATTGAATTTTGATTTCTTAAGCGCTTGATCATACATATATCTTTATTTGAAGGTCATTAAATAGCTACAAAAAAAGTTGCAGTCTTTTAAAAAACAGGATTACCTATAGAAGTCAAAAATGAATAAGGGATAGCGGAAATGAAGAAGCAAAACTGTTGCATTCTTCTTTGCTAACAGTCACTGAATTTAGGAAATTTGTACAGCTTTACAACTTTCGCATATTTTTATTCATTCTCTGCAGTTTTTCAATGTTTAACTATAAAAGATTCTTTCGCATTCAAAAACAGATGTGCTTCTTCAGTATCATTTAAACTTTTACTTTTTTAGTTGAAAACCAAGAATTATAGGACACAGGCGTACCGTCCAAGAACATATGGTATTTGGCATCGAATTTCAAAGGCTTTTATTTGGCACGAGTTGATGTGCCAAACAAAGAGATTGTGAATTTTTCCCAGTACGAAATTGATAATTCAAAAATAATATTTATCCCAAAAACTGACGACGGTTGGTTTTAAACAAGATGACCATTACAATTAGTTAAGTTGTATAAAGCTAAAGAAGTATTTTGTATAAAAGTTCATTCTTAAATCAAACTTTCTTGCTTATTTGACTTCTTCAACTCATTTAGTAAATTTATTGCTCTTAAAAACTGTTTAGGTACACCAATAAGAGGAGGATTTTCGTTTTTAGTTTCCAACGAACTACACCAAATAGGGCCTTATTGGTTTGAAGTATTTATCTCCGATTCCAGCGACTCGTCAACGATACTTGAAGCTAACAATCGGCTCGTCGTTCCGCCATTTAATCAGTCCTTCTTAATCACAGCTGATATATTGAGAGCTTACATCATGAATGTTAGGTTTCAAAAAAACTAATTCCCAACCTTGATATCAATTCAATCACAGTGGTCATCATTTATTAATTACTGAACCCCCTCATGGTGGTTTTAGGTAACACCCTCAGACGTGATATATTTAGTGCGTCAGAAGCCTGAGTTAGGTGAACTTTGCCTACATGGTATTCCAACTGAAGAATTTAGTCAGGATGACATCAATTTTCGACGAGTCTCATATAAAGTAATTTGGGACAAAATTACAAGCTGTAAACAGTCAGACTCTTTCGTTTTTGAGCTAGAGAACAAAAGCAGCAGAAGGCGAGACAGTAAACGACACCAATTCAAAATTGCAATAACTTACACGGCTATCGAAGATTTGAATAAAATTATTCGTATCTCACCTATCACATTAACACCAGGTATTTTGAAACATTAAGTATAATTTGATCTCGATATAATTAATATGTTCAATATGAAAAAACGCTGAGAAAATGCTATTTTTGAATGTGGTAAACGCATTTTTTTGTCTAAACAACAATCCCAACTGCAGGTAGCATGGTCGCTCTAAATTCCAGTTTTTTGGAACTGAATCGGTTACAGCTTTTGTGCAAAGAAAATTTACTTGTAAACATATCGCGCAATTCGCGGAGAGGCTTAATCCAAGCAGTTGACCCAACAAAAACAGAGCTGCTTTTTACTGCTCAAGAGGTCACTTCGGGTCGGGCAGTAATCTATTCAGACATCGACAAAAATAACGACTTTATGTATGATTCTATACTGCTAGAAATTTTTTTGTCAAGTGAAATTCAAGAAATACGGAAAAAGTCGATTCGAGTTGAATTGCCAATCATCTTTTTACGTAACGATCCTCAGTACCAGGTATCGTTTATTAAAATCTTTTTTGCATATTGCGATTTCGCTTACCTCTTCTTGAATCGCATGAGTTAAAAAAATAAAACTAATTAAAAACAACTACTTTATTTTACTGAAATTTTTTGTGAGCTATATGAGACATACTAGATGTTAAGTGTCTTTCAAAACTGTGGCCCATCTCTTATTCTAGATAGGATTAATAGGTATAAAGTTTACGACACAAACAATAAAAAATTTTTTAAACAATGACTTTTTTAAATGAAACATCTCTTCACAGGTTCTACGTTTTGCTGATCAGATTCGCGTAATCAGTGGAAGCGATGTAGTACTTCGAGCTGATCTTTTTAGCGTCTACCACTTGGGGAATTCACCGTTTTCTACGGTTTACACTGTCCAACAGGTAAGGTATAAAAAGTTTAGGGGTAATAGCTTATTAAAATTCAAAGTTTGAAAAAAAATTTGAATTCCCAAAGTTTCCGACCTTTTCTGCTTCTGCAGAGGGCTACAATTTTAGAGCGGCAGTAATGGTGCTGAAATAATTGTGGATGGAATGCTAGCAAAACGTTTTACACAGGGAGATGTGAATGCGAAACGAGTTCGGGTAAGGCATAAGCAGCAGGTTGATAACGACGATCGCTTTGATGTCTTAGTTTTGGAAGTAACGTTCTTCGATGCGGCTAATTTTTCAGTAGATGCTGTAATAAAGTAGGATTTACGAGCAGTGAGATGAAGACTTTCTTGTAAAACACAGCAAGAGATGAAAATTTGTAACAATAATCCTTTTTTATCAAATTGATTTCACTTAAAATAAAAAGTCTAAAGCTTTCTTTAGGTTTACTCAGATGATCTTGCTTTTCTACAAGATACAGTTTTCAAGCTTAGAAAGTTTCTTTCACTTCCTAGTTATTGAAAATTGGCTGTTCAACTGAACTTTCTCGTTATCAGTCTTATATTTGATCTGAAAAGCTCACTAGTCAGTGTGAACGACGTCTATAAATGGACCGTTTTACCTTTTAAAGTTGGATCAAAACGTACTATTAGGCGCATTTTTCAAAGCTTCAATCTATTTAATTGCAAGACATAATTATCATGCCATTAGAACTTCCGAACTGTGGTCGCGCCTGATTAAAATATAATTAATTTCGCGACACGAAAAAAGGTTGATCTGAAGGAATTAAAGTGGAAGAAATAAGTATTTCCTAACGACAAAAACAAAACCGCTGTTTGAGTTTAAAAAGTTAGAAATGAAAAGTTTTGAAGTGGAAGACTGAGTGAAAGAGTAAAGAAGACAAAATTTGAGTGAAAAATTATAGAACTTCTGCTCTGTAATTGTTTACATCTCAAATCACTTTGCGTTGAAGATCCAACAAAATAAATCAATCAGTTTTTTGTAGGTTGGTGGTCACATAAAAACCTTAAAAGTAATTATTGAGTCGGTTCCACTGTCACTAGTCAACCACACCGATATCATCTATCCACAAGGGTCGAAGTTTGTAATATTAACCAAGTAAGCAATCATTAGGATAAATAAGATTTGACTGATGTTGCACAAGCCTAATGCGGTTTAAATGGTACAGTTGGAGAGCGTCAGAATCAGCCGCATTGACTTAAATTATCAAGCAGTACTCAAAATGTATTCAAAATTCAATATCAGTTGAAGTTATTTCACCTGAAAATAAATCAGTTAAATTAAAATGGTGGTTTTTTTAGAGATAATCTGGATATCAACTGGAAATCTTACCGATCAAGAATAATGTACAATATTACGAGGAAGCCGAAACATGGGCTGCTTCTTAAAGCTCAGGGCGAGAAAACCGCTGAAGTTTTTTCCCAGAAGGATATTGACGAACAGAAAATTTATTTCATTCCTACAAATTACAGCGCTTATGAGGTTACGCATTATTAAATTAATTATGTAACACTATTGGTAAGGTAGTTGTGCTATCAGTCGTATAAGCCGGAAAAAACCGACATTTGATTTCCTGTAAAATGTTCTGCTGACTGAATTATCTTCTTTTTATTATCAACTGTTATTATTTTTTGGCAGAGTCCTTCTAAACGGACGCTTTCTTTGACAAACAGTTAACGTTTAATGTTTGCAGTCGTCCTTTTTTCAGACCTATATTCTTCTTAAAACAATTTCGACGTCTGTTCGTTTCTTCTTCAAGGCTGAAAGCGCATGCAGAAAAGTAATAATGTATTTCAGGATGATTTTGAGTTTACAATCTTCAATGAAATGGGTAAAAAAATTCAAAACCAGTCACGAATAGTTATGGCACCGATCTTCAAACCCCAGATGTTACGAGTGTCATCAAACCAACCAGTTTTGATAACGCCTGAACATTTAAATGCATCATCACTAAAGGTAGAGCTCATTAGCTAAAATTATTTAAAATTTTTAAAAAGCCTTTACAACTAACTGACTCTCAAAAGTAAAGTTTTTTACACATGTCATAATTGAGGAAAACCTCGGTTTTTTTAATAAGGAAGTAGACAGCTAGAAATTTGAAAAAGTACATAGAGTGTTCATCCGACATTTTCATGACTTCAACAATAACTATGAGTTGCAACTATTGCTTTTGAAAGCTTAAAAAATTAAACCGATTCGGTTTCCCTTTCACTGTAACTTTAACAAGGAAAAAAACTTTAAAAGATGGACGTTCACCAGTTCTGCTTAAGGACACTTGAACCCAATCTTTCAGAGGAGGCGCCTTCTCAAATCGTTTTTTTACAGGAACTTTAAACGCCTGCTAATGCAGTTTTAAAGCTCCCCACTTTTTCCATGCAACAGAAGCTTAGTTTAGGAAAATTCGCCGTTGTTTACTATCGTTGATCCGCCGACCAAGGGCACTTTTGTCAGAGATGGAAACAAGAGTCTTCCAGTTGAAGCATTTACATTTACCGACATTGAAGACGGTAGAATTGCGTACCAACCTTCGGAGCTGTATTATGGGCTGGTAGATAATGCAGAAATACAAATTGATGCTGATAATGTTCAATCGGCAAGATTCAGGTCTAGACGATGTTCTGATCCAGAATACACATTCTCATTGTTGAAAAAAATTTTTTTTAGCGAGGAAAAGGGAGTCAATATCAAATTTGCAAAACAATCTGAACATGATAAATAGAGAATTTGTGAACTAGATGTTCTTGCTAGTCAAATTTTATTACAAAAATTATAAAGATATTTTGTAGGAAGTGTTAACCATCCTCAAAATACACTCAGCTTCTAATGTTTTAGAATCTTTATCGACATGGTACATTACTCATCATTTAAACCGGACACATCAAACGGTGAAATGTCAACAAATACAACTTTTCAAGTTGAGGAAACTGTTGGTTCGCTGAGCAAATATCTTCCACTCCTAATCCTTCCATTTATTTTTCTCTTTATTCTAATCTTCGTGATTGCATGCAGACGTCGGTCTGTAAAACAGAAACGAAGAAAAGTCATTGTTGAACAGAAGCAAAAAGAGTTGGAATCTAAACTCAACCTTGCTACTGAAGGGCAGCCTGATTTACTAGATACGACGGTTCGTTTACAGTATTTTCCGTAATCATTGAAATAAACAAAATAAATTTTGTCCAAAACTGCAAAGACCTGGTACTGATTCTGAAAGGAAACAATTAATGAATTTCCAGGTTTACGCTACAATTGGACGAAATCGCACCGAACAGCAAATGCAGAAGGCAAGACAGATGCATTCGTTTGAATCAACATCGCAGCCTTCCAAACAGTCAGCATCAGCTTCAGCTGTCACTGCCACTCCTGACTCCACCTCACAGAACTATGACGTAACTGTCGTTGGACATCCTTGTCCTCCAGCTCCATTGCAAGGCAGTGAACAATCACAAACTACAAAGCTGAAGCAAAGCCAGTATTGGGTATAATAATGATTTGTACACTGATAATACTATCTTCAAACATTACGGGTATTTTGGTAAACGTTAAGTACGCTTTATAAATTTCCATTAAACTTTAAGTGCAAAAAAACAAGTTTATATAATCGCAACATTTGAATGCTACTCGGTGCCTTTTTTTTAATGGTATATTCTAGTCCTTCTCTCGAGCTTTAAAGAGATAAAGTTAGTATTAAAGTAAAGGTGAAAGAGTACTGCCGAAAATTGGTACAAAGATCTTGCTAATTCATTTTGTCAATCATATTAGCAGAATTTGTTATTTATATGTTAGTAATCCAAGATCTAATTACTGTTAATTAACATTCCTTTTTCATGTACATTTAGTGAAATGACTTTAAATGCCATCAATATTGTTCTTCTTTCATTCAATTTAAAACCATATAATTGTTGTAAAATGTTTTTTTTTTTATTCTTTGTTATTCGGGGCTGGAAGTACGATGCCTTCTATGATAGATACGCCTTGTGATCTTCTACCAATATCCCTCCCACAATTGTTACTTAATTTTTTTATTCTTTCTATACTTACTACATATCTGTAAAGAGAAAGTGATGTATTTATTAAAGAATTATCAAAATGCTTTTACCTTGTCAATGATGCGAAACAAACAAAAATTTAAGCCCCCTCATCACTTCTCTGTTTCCGTCGCATTTCATCCATCCTTTGTTCATATTTTTTTCTTAAATTGTGATATATGGAATTTTGATGCGGTCTCAGATAATCCTACACTTCCTCTACTTTTCAAGCAACTAATATTACATTACGCAAAACCCTACGTAGATAGCTGTAAGTTTTCAGTCTTAATGGCAACAAAACGCTTCAGGTGGAAGTACGATTTTGTGACTGGAAACTTTCAGGTTCGGTTCCGGTCAAAATTCATTTTCTACTCTCCCGCTAGCGTTTTTCCTTGAACCGTTCATACGCTGTGTGTGGGCAAATACAATACGGGTTTGAAGGCAGCAAAAGGTTATAAATGGAACAAAAAACCATTCTGATATTTATCTATACAGTGTGTTTCTTTTCTAATCCTTTCCTGCGGCGGGTTGATAACTTTAATGTACCAAAGAATTTTGTTAAAAAGGTGTTATTAGGCGGACTAGATAACAGCTAGAAAAGAGGAAGGTGAATCCAGGAATGAAAACCAATATGCAGAGATCTTCAAGGCCTCCGGGTTTTTATTACTATCGCTGCATAACGAATGCATTTCAATTACAAGTTAGACTGCCGTTGAAAATTCTGTACATCTTTCTAAAGCAAGAAAATTAAGCCTTAACTCTAGGTTCTTAAATTGTGGAGTCTGAGAGAAAAAAAGACAGGATAAAATAAGGCAAGATAAAAACAAAAGTAAAAATAAAAATAGGGGTAAAAAAAATGAACTTAAGAAGCATATTCGTGGAGGTGGAGGCAAAACTTATACGACTGCTAATTTGAGCGGTATGAAATCCAACCAGCAACTCATCGTTTTTCTGATTGATTAACTGTGATGGATTCTGAATGGACTTCCAGGTTTACTTTGCCATCAAAAAATTGATACAGATAAGACGACCAAAATACGATGCACGTGATAAGTTGGCTAGAAACACCCTCAGCACGTTATCTTTGTCGGTCCAATTTTTTGGCGGTGTGCCTGTGCCTTGGAAGCGCGGCAATTTATGCGGTCAAATTTTCTGAACTTCAGATTTCGGTCAAAAATGAGCGCTGACCACCGTGAGTGCTTCTTTTTTGTTTATTGTTTTATGTCATACATATAACCTTTTGGCCATTTTGTTCCCTATTATTTCTCCTATTCAGAGTTAGGTCATTCTTATTATTCTTCTTTACTGATTACAAGCAAATTATTAGCTTTTATGGTTCCGTAACCCCTGCTCTATTTTGGAATCCTTGGTGAAGATACAGCTGATGTAGACCTTTGGAACTTGTCTTCTAGGAGGTAAATTTGTGTCTCGTTTTAATGAGGAGAACTGTTTTAAAAATTTTTTTTTGGTTTGGATAAGTTAAGTGATACAATCAGTTACAACATTTTGATATGTCAAGACAGAAAGCTACACAATTTAAAGTATCCAGAAGCATTTAATGGCTATTGCTGTCTTTTTTGTTTGATGGACTTTGTAGTTTTGTTTTTCTAAGTTTTATTTTTAATAGTGCTTGCTCGACAGCCTCTCTAACCTTCCTTCTGTAAGCTCCATTTCCAAGACTGCAGCATTGAACTGTACTTCTTTCACTGGTCAGGTAAGCATCCCAATTCTGGTGGCCTCTTGATGTATTTAAGACACGCAAGCTCTGTAATTGCATCTTTGAAAATGTGAAGGGATTAAATACCTTGATTTATTTCTTGCTCAGTATTTGCACTTTTTTCCAGGCACTTTTTAGTCAGCAGAAGAATACTCGTACAACTTGTGCTTTTAACTACATAGTATACGTAGAACGTTTTGACTCATTGCGTGGAACATAAAAAGTACAAATAGCTGGTGAGCAAGTACCAAAGTTGTTCCAAATTATTTATATGACCTGTCTATAACCTTATAATGCTTTTCGACTTGTTTCGCTTGACCTGTTAGCAGTGAATTTTCGGACAAGATTAAACTAAAATGTGTGTCTCTACAGCGACCGAAATACTTACACTAGGTTTTTAGAGGGGTTTAGAAACGTTGAAAATATCTTGAAATCACAATGAAAGTGGACTAAAGATTTTAAAAAAGAATTCTAAAAATATGGACATGAAAGGTATTCTTCAGGATAGGCGCACAAAAGTGGAATAGCCTTTTTTTTTTTTTTTTTTTTTTTTTTTTTTTTTTT